AGAAGAATAACAAAGTACAGTAAATGGTGTTTACAATTATGACTAAACATTACAGTAATATAAGAAATACCAGTTTGCAATATCAAGCAGCATAACAAGGAAGTGGTTGACACCAGAGCCAGACATTTACAAATGGCTGCGCTATGTTAAAAATAAGGTGGATAACATTGACTGAGGTTGGATTTTTTTGAAGCATGCACTTTGGTGAAATTAAAAATATTAACATTTTTCACAAGTATTTTCAAGTTATATGGAAAAGGAGTCTCCAGTTATTATACTTATAATTTTTTTTACAGCATCTGCAATATCAAAGGTTGCCTCTGAACCAGTTCATACTGGTAAGGCTAGTTGCCTCCCATCTTCTTGAATCTTAATCTGAAAAGAAAACTGTACCCATAGTCTTTAACACTGCATTTAGAATAGAAAATCCTACCCTTTAAAAATAGAAGGACTGGAAATAGTGGTGGTCCATATCCACCCCCCAGATCTGCCCCGCCGCCGCGCCCCCCACCGCCGCCTCTCATTCATCATTTTGTTGCAGCTTGTTTATTTTCCCTCAAATCCAAACTTAATTTAAACCATTTCCATTATTATGTTGCTTTGCGGACTCTTGATGTATAGTTTGTTTCATAGTCTTTAGATTTGACCTTTTTCTTCTATTTTTGTTGTTTTTAGAAGGAAACATAAGCACCTCCATACATGAAGTAAATTCATCCGCCAAAGGATCCGCTGCTGCCTGGGCTATTCTACCTGTGTGTAAGTACATTGTTTCTGCTCCTGTAATGATATGCTGTATGCAATTGTAATATCTATGATTTTTATACATCTGTGTTTGTTGGTGAATTCAAATTGAGGCTTTTATTCCATGCATGTTAGCTTTGAAGTCATCTACTGTATGTGTTAATGTACTCCTAAAAGTTGACTAATCTTTAGCAGATTAATCCTTTTGAAATCCATACTTCCTTTCCAGGGAAAATTGACAAAGTTTTGCACTATGCCGGTTATTGTCCAGTCAAATGCTCTGTAGAATGAACCTGTCATTCCTGATAATACCACCTTCAACCAACTAGCAAGTAGCAAATCATGTTTCATGTAACTACAGCCATTTAGCTTGTAATAAAGTTTATTTAGTGACGTAACTACAGCCATGTAGCTTGTGTAAAATGTAATATTGAAACAAAGTTTGGGCATATGTCAAACAGGAAATAAAACTACATTTTGTCAGGATAGTTTGAGTTTTAACCCGTTTCTTCTCTTAATATTACACATTGGCTAGCACATTTTCACTGTTCTTACAGATGAATTGTTAGTTATTAAATTCATTGTTCTTTGCCTACAGTGTTATTGGCCATGGCTGCTGCGGGTGGTTACTTAATGTGGCGCAACTGGCAGATCAAAAATAAGAAGAGCATGAACTTCGATAATCCAGTATATCTCAAGACCACAGAGGAAGACCTCAATATCGATATCACGAGACACAGTGCTTCTGTAGGCCACACATATCCTGCTGTGAGTAATGCATAATCATTATCTGCGGTTTGAGATGAATGAAACCATAGACTTGTCATCCACCTCATTGTTACAAGCACATGTTTCTCTGCTATGCCATAATGCCAAAAATGGAAACAGTGGCGATTAGTTCTGTGGCCCTTTTTACACCTGGTAATAAGATGCGTTTTGGTTGATCAAAAAGAAAACCTGGTGTTTTAATCTGACACCTTGTCCACTTTCAATCACTTCTGTCCTGATTTCTTCAAGGGGAGGGTCTATGGGGTAAATGTATGGGCTTTTTCAGATCTTTCGATCTAATGGAAGAAAAAAGCTTGTGCAATTTACATATGAACGCCACCGGAGACGATGGAAAAACACATGGAGAGCAACAGCTTTAGTTTCTGCTCTGACAGCCGAAAGACCAGCCGAACGCTGTGAGTGTGTGTTAGAAATCAGGAATGGTGAGAGAACATTGTGCTTGGTATGTTTTTCATCTTCAAACCAAACTTGGGTCTTCAGCCGACAGTTTAAATCCCTTCTTACTAGCCGCTTCCCATAATGTTTGCGCAATAGGTCAGTAGGCGGAGAGAAGACAGTCTTTTGTGGCTGTTCGAAAGCATTCAACCACATGAGCGTCTACACTGAGAGCAATCCGGTCTGATGCGTTTACGACTACCTCTGGAAGTGGTCAAAAGTGGACAAACTCAAAACGTTTTAGACCCCGTTTACAGCTGTATTTAGCGTCGTCCACTTGTGATCCGATCGACCAAAACGCATCTTAATACCAGGTGTAAACAGGGCCTGTGTTTATGGAATATGGCTCCTTTTACATTTTATGCCAGAAATCCGTTTCATTTTTCTAAAAGCTTCATGTTTTCCTAACAAGCTATAATGCATCTAGAACTTCAGCCCCCTAATTCTCTTGTCCATTTCCTGCAGATTTCAGTGGTAAACACAGAAGATGACTTGTCATAACCCAAAACCCCTACAAATGGTCCAGTTTATTTACTAGCCACTTGGCACCAATGGCAACTGCTGCCGTTTCAACGGTTTCACAACCACCTGCCTTCTGAAGTGCATTTCCAAGTTTTTTTTTCACCCAATAAGAGGATGTGATTTGTGGTACCAGAAAGTATTTGCATCCTGCTCACGCTTGTGTGTTCAAAGCATCAAGGGATTCCGAGGGTTTGGGTTTTTACCTTCACTCACACCATAACGGTCGCAAAATGATTCAACAGCCTTACTTTCCTACTTTCAAGGATGACTGCATAGCTGGAGAACCAGAATCAAGAATTGATGGCTAGTAGTGTGTGTGGATGCCTGAAATATTTAAATGAAAATGCATATTTTAGATGGCCATGTCTTTAAGATGTAAGTTTCTTTCTTTCTGTTTTCCAAATGAACATTATTTCCCAGAGACACATTATTATGAAGCTTATTGTGTCTTTCTGGGTTAAAAAAGCTTATAGGGAAAAGTGCTGTTACAACATTTGTAAAACATTGTATATATCCCTCTCTGGAAAACATCATCAGGATTCTTCAAGCACTTTGATCAAATGTTCCTCTGTAAATAAGATTGTATAAATTTGACAGACAATTTTGCTATGGTTGGGCACTGTACTGGGGTAGAGGAAAATGTATTTAAAAAAATGAAGTTTGTTAAACTATTTTGTATGTTTGTGTGCTGTTCCTGTGACCTTTTATAGCAGTGTACAGGGGAACAAAATGCTCTGTATTGTGAAAAGGAAACATTTGCAAGCGTAAAATAAAATTAAAGTTTAAAGTAAGTTTCTTTATTGGTCAAAATGATTGAATGTTTAATTGCATTGAATTTTTTATATATATATATATATTTTTGTATAGTTTTATAGGCTCCTTTGAGACTAGATTAGGTTAGACAGGCCAGGATCTGATCCAGACTCAAATTCTGGTCGCCGGCACATAATGTTATGTAATAATGCAGAATGATAGCATTTATGCACTCATCACATAATTACCATCAGTGTGATAATTACTGGTGATTTTTTTTTTTTTTTTTTTTTTTTAAGTCCTTACTTTTTTAAGGTGGTGTCAATTAAAGGATCATGATGCAAACTGATATTTATAACTTTATATTTGCAGTGGCAGCACAAGCATAATTAAATGTGTAGATATAACCTCAATTACAGCTGGGTTCACATTGCAATTTTGCTGTCTAAGAGCTACTTCACGTTCGTAAAAGATTTCTCATCTAAGGCACTCTGTAGTCTTTAAATGCTTAATTTTATTTTCACTACAGTAATTAACTGCCTTCGTGATAAACATTTAGCTCCAAAAAAGTCTCCAAAAGTGTCTGGATTGTGGGACCAAAGTGTTGGCTGTGATGTGTGTTGTGGAGTCTGACACAAAATAAGTTGATGTTGCACTTGGGCTTTGCCCAAGATCTCACTGGGATCATTTTATACAGTGTGACAAACAATAATTGTAAAAAATAATAGTGTGTGCTTGACTTAATGTGTATATTTGCTTTTTATTTTGTCATACCAGCACTAAAATTAGCTTCCTGTCTTTTGGTGGGAAGTGAGAGAAAAGATAACACGTCACATTATTCCAACCAAAACCACTTTTGTTGTTACACCACCTGAACTCTCCAGTAGGACCTACTTGGGAAGGCTTGATGACGTTAAAGACTGTATGAAATGGAAGTTCTCCTATTGTGTCGTATTTCTGGGTCACTGTGATTTTGCCAACATATTTAGTTGATCCTGGAACATTCCTGTCCGAACACATAGTTCCAACCCGACCCATACATTATCCCTAAAATTAGAGCGAAATGATGGGGGAACAACGCTGATGAAGAAGTCCTGACTGCCAGCCTAAACTTGACAAACTCTAACCTTGTCCCACAAATCTTACTGTTCATCCTGGAACATCATTCCAATCAACCAAAGACGTTGATGCACTTGGTGAAATCAGGTTCATAGTAGTTCTGGGTCACCATGATTTTGCCAAGTAAGACAGGTTCCTGGGTCAACATATTTTGTTGATCCTGGAACAACATTCCTGTCCAAAAATGTTGTTCTACCCCTTCCCCGGTAAACCTAACCTTACCTATGACTTATCCCTAAAAGTTATCAGAGGGAAATGATAGGTGAATAACACTGATATAGAAGCACATGACCCTGGTTGTAAGCCTAAACTTGACACAAACTGTAAACTTGTCCCTCAAATCTGATTGGTTGATTGGAACGTTCTTCCAGGATCAACAAAGATGTTGATGGGGGGGGAAACAACTACTGTTGTTTTGTTTGTTGTCATTGTCCATTGCCATTATTGTTGCTTGTTCATTGTAAAGCGTCCTTGAGCGCTATATAAATAAAACCTATTATTATTATTATTACGAGGACACTGGAATTAAAAAATGATGTGCACAGATAAATCATTTATATTAAACTGACTATTCTTATTTTTTTAATTGAATATTGCAGTTTTGATTTTGTGGTTACTTTAAGATTTGGGAATTTTGGGGACTTTCAGTCAGATGTGAACACTTCTCAATGATTCCAAAGAAGGAGATGGTTAAAATGTGGTCTGATACTTGGTCCATCCCTTGCAAAATGATTCTCCTCCATATTCCAGAGCTCTGCCTGGTGCAGGGTATATGAAAAGATAACCTCTATTGGTGTAGTTTATAAGCAACACGGTGTAATATCCTCATATTCGGTTGGAGATCTGTGAATGTACGGCAAACGAAAGACATCCCGGTTGGTAGAGAAAGTCTGGAAGAGGATCATAGTATTTAAACCTTTAAGCACTCATATCCTCTCTGTCAGCAACATTAGTCTGAGTCAGACCCCTGAGCAAATGCGGGAAGCAGCACAGAGGTATTAGAGCCATCTAATGCCTCTACACCTCCAGTAACCTGTGCATCTGCCAAGCTGAGAGGACGCTGGCACCATGATCAAGCTTAAAGGCAGGAGGCAAAGCCTTTTCCCCAACTATAAACTTGGGGTCACAACCCCTGCTCCCAAGGATCCAGAGGACTCCACGCTTCCTTTCGGCCAGCAAAACTGGGTGAAACCATGGAATTCGATGCAGGAATTAAGTAAGGATATTTATGACATCTACGCAGAGTATGAAGACGATGAAGAGGAGAGACTGCTGTCCACCCCTAGTAAACTGACTCAGACTAAGAACTACATGCTCAACATCAACGTAGGAGGCAAGGTCTACCAGATCTCTTACAGGGTAGCAGCAAAATATCCCAAAACAAGAATCGGCCGCCTTGCAACGTATACGGACCACAACAGGAAACTTGACCTCTGTGATGATTATACTGTCCAGAATAATGAGTTTTTCTTTGACAGGGATCCAGATGTCTTCCACAGCATATTCAACTTCTATAGGACTGGAGTTCTCTGGATTAAAGATGAATTGTGCCCACGCAATTTCTTGGAGGAGATCAACTACTGGGGCGTTCGTATCAAGAACACCCATCGCTGCTGCCGCATTTCATTTGAGGAACGGCAAGATGAACTCAACGAACAGCTGAAGGTGCAAAGAGAACTTGAGGCAGAGGTGGAAACTGAGGAACATGAGGACCTCTTCCAGGATATGGCTTTTGGTCATACACGTTTCCTCATTTGGAACTTGATGGAGAAGCCCTTCTCATCGGTCACAGCCAAGCTCATGGCATTAGCATCCAGTTTCTTCGTGCTGGTATCACTTGTGGCTATGACTCTCAATACGGTAGAGGAAATGCAGAAGATGACCACCGGACACCTGAGTGGGAAGACCTACTGTGAGTATGTTGAGATGCTCTGCATTGCATTTTTTACCATGGAATATATTCTCCGGCTTGTGTCCACACCTGACCTCACACATTTTACAAAGAGCATGCTGAATGCTGTGGACCTGATTGCAATCCTTCCATTATATCTTCAGATGGTCCTAGAGAGTTTCGAGGGTGGCGACTATGGGAGACATGGTAGCGATATTGAGACTGTAGGACGGGTTGGTAAAGTGGGGCAAGTTCTCCGCATCATGCGACTCATGAGAATATTTCGTATCCTAAAACTGGCGCGTCACTCTACTGGACTTCGAGCCTTCGGCTTCACGCTCCGGCAATGTTACCAACAAGTGGGCTGTCTTTTCCTCTTCATTGCGATGGGAATTTTCACCTTCTCTGCCATGGTTTATACCGTAGAGCATGATGTGCATCACACAAACTTCACCAGTATTCCACATGCATGGTGGTGGGCTGCTGTAAGTACATGTTTTTTCAGGTTTATACCTGGTAGAAAAAGTACTGTGGTTGTACCATGGTAAAGGGATGGGATTAGGTGATAATGCAAAGATACTTTGATATATCATGGTCCTGACATTATCCATATACAATGGGATGTACATAGTGCACCAAAATACTTCTAACATTATGATGGTATATCCATGGTACACGTCCAAAAAACATGGTAATATCATAGTACTTTTTTGTGGAGAGTACTGACAGAGCAAGACTTACTGGTGTCTTTCTGCTATAAAGCTAATAAATGCTTCATCTCAATTGTGTTGCCTACTTTGCCTGACATCAATGTCTTGCTTCCTCGCTCTGCATAATTTACAACTGCTCTTCTTAACTCTAGTTCTATTTAACTCTAATGACATTTCTGGCGTTTTGAGAATTTGTGACTGACTTTTTTAAATCTTAAAAGATCATTTGTCATTTTACTGCACACTGAAGTATTCCTTGTCCGTTTATACCACAGGTGAGCATCTCCACTGTGGGCTATGGCGACATGTTTCCAGAGACCGCTTTAGGCAGGATTTTTGCATTTGCGTGCATCTCGTTTGGAATAATTCTCAACGGCATGCCAATCTCCATCCTGTTTAATAAATTCTCAGACTACTATGCAAAGCTGAAAGCCTATGAATACACCTCCACTATAAAGAATCGCGGGAAAGTGAGGTTTGTGAAAAGGGCGGCAAAGACATTCGCGGATTGTTTTTAGGGTGTGATGTGTTGACCTACTCTTTTTCCACGGATTGATTTTTAACTCATGGACAACAAAAAGTTTAAAACAACCAGAACATCTAAGGAACTGTCTTCAAACAACTTACTAACTGTATAGAAACCATGTTGTTTGTGCCACTGGGACACATTTATATTGAACAACTTTTGTACTATACTGTACATAACAGGCAGCCCTTATAAGATTTTTTTAATGCTGAATCACTGCATTTAGAGAGCTCTTACAGGTTATAATGAAGTTTAATAAAACCTCTTCTTGGAACACCAATTTATTTGTCAGATTTCAACTGTTAAAAACATTTGATTTTTTCTGTGCCATAAGTAATAGTAAGAAAAAAAATGTCATAAGAATGTATTTTTAGATGGGCTAAAGGCAATGTTAAGACAAATAATCCAGTGTAGACAAACACTGCTTCAAATAATGAGTTGAAGGTTTTAACATCTGGCCAAGCACAAGCTCAGCATCAGTACTTTTTAAAATCTTGTATAGGCATTTAGTGTCTATCAAGAAAAGCCGATTTATGATTTATATCAACTGGTTTCCTCTGGAAGCACTCTGAGCTGGGCAGATTGGAAAAAGATCTCCTATAAGGTTAACTGCCATATTGCCAGGGCTATTTTATGACTTAAAGCCAACTTACAGAGATTAACCTGTTAAAATTAATTCAGAGATGACATCCTCATTATAACAGCTTGGCATTGTATGTGACTTACAATTAAAACAACTTGTTGACTCAATAAAGGGTGGCCATTGTGACGTCTATAAGAATGCAGACAACCAGAATATAATTAAATCTGAAAAGTATGCTCATGCAAGCATTGATAATCCTTGAAAGATTAATCCTTGGGGATCATTGAAGTCCCAAGGACAGATGGAAGTAGAGCAGGGAAACAAAATTAATTTTCAAGCCTGCATGTCTCCATCCTTAAAGCTACCTACCTATATATATTCATACAGATGTTTTTATATAAATATATAACAAATTAATCTCACACAGAAATCTCTGAGTCATATTTCACCCCCCCAAAAAAATAAAAGAAGGAATTTTACTTGGCACAAAATAAAAGCACTTTTATATGAACATTGTGATTTTCATGCCAATTAAACATTTCCTCCTGAAATTGGAAAGTTAAATAATCCCCTCGTCTTGGCAGAATCAGGTTTTTTTTAAACAGTATATTATCAATTTACTACAATTACTACAATTAACTTAAAACATTTTTTTATAAATATGGGGGCACACAAAATATGACTTGGACATGTCCTTGATTTGTTTCACAAGATTAGACATTAAAAAGAATAATGAAAAACAAATAAATAAATAACTCAAAAACAGGTCCGGGTATTCTTGTGTATTTTGTATTTACATACATCTGCATATAAATTCACAATTAAAAATCCAGAAGAAAGAAAACACTAAATAACATTGATTTGGGACATCAACCTCTTTTAGGCCAGTTTTTCCAGCAGAACCTCAACTCCTTTACAGTTCTGGATCTTCTGTAGTTTAGGAAGGATGGATTTCAGCATGGCTCTCACTTCTTCAGCAACACTTTCATCTGCGCTGTGAAGAAGGCTGTGGAAACAAACAAAACCAAATAAAGCAGCGGAAACTTGAATCAAATGCAACCCACCAATGCAAAGATCCATGCATAGATTAAGTGCTTCTCTGTATGCAGCGTGGGCTTCACATTTGTGACATTTGATTGGAGGAAAAAAGAAGTGACATCAGAATAAACAAACAGTCTAGGCTGAGAATATAAAGAAACAAATCTCTCGCTGCTTAAAGTCTTAGGGAGATTATAAGAGGTCATGCACAAAGACTGAGGCTGAGACGGGGAGTGGAAAAACCCCATAATCCTTTGCGGTGTGTAACTCAAGGGTTTGCAGCTGGGAGCCACAGTTTAGCCCTTTATTAGCATACAGACAACAGCATGGCATAATGAAGCAGGACTGTGGAAGATGTGCTTAACCCAAAGCTCACTGTGGGCAATTCCTCCAGCTAATAATCGACAGTATGATGGAAAAGCAGCAAATTTGCTGCGATGGTGAGCTTGTGATGTCATAAGATAAGCACTTTGAGGCTTTAAACATGAATGAATGTACAGGCATGTTCTTCTGGGGGTTTATTCAGCGCTCGAACAACAAGGGCTGCTGTGCTATTCTTTACGCCCACCAATTCGAAAGCAAGTACACAAAAAGGAGTGCATTCTGTTATTTCTAGATCTGTTCAGTTGTGCCAGCCATAAACTTACCAACAAAGAACAATGGCACCACGGTTGACTGAAGCCCACGTCTTGAGGTCCTCCAACTCCACCTTCTCCAGAAGAATCCTGGAAAAGCGCTCTGTGGACCAAAATAAGGCAGGAGAGGACAGTAAAACTTGTGTTTTCGTGTAAAGCTGCTCACTTTGTTTTTATTAGTAGGCTTACACCGACCAAAGTGACTTTTTAAAATAGAAAAGGAAACCCTAAAGCATAGGTTCTCAAAGTGCGGCCCGCGGGCCAATGGCGGCCAATGTTTTTAGCCGACACTTAGAAAACAATAGTTTATTAATAAACAATTAAAATGCCTCGCTGTTTTTTCAGACGCATTTATTATCATTAGCCTATAACTCACCTATAAATCAGGCTTGATCAGACACGTACAGGCTATATGGCTCTTCTCATTCATCACTGCGGGAAAAATATAAATTCCAGGTTCTAATTTGGCCTTAGAAAACCAGTAAAATCGACATGTTTTCCATATTAATTTGTGAATATTTAAAATGTTTAATAAAGGGGCAGAAAGTCATTTAAACAAAAATCTGAAAAAGTCTGTCGATATTTACTTTTTTTGCGCAGCAGTTGGTGAAGCCAGTTCAAATTAAAAAAAATTTCAACTTTGCGTTTTAAAAAGACAACAACCGTTCATTTTTTGTTTTTCAGTTACGGGTTAAAAAAGATAGATAATAATATGCAAATCTGCAATAATGGAAACGCGACTGACAAGCAATGATAGAAATGAATGATGATGATGTCTTGTTTGGTAAGCTTCTATTTTAAAAGTTTCTTTCTCTCCCCCCCAAAATTTTCACAAGTTTTGCCAGGTTTAGCCTCAGTTATGAATTAAAATGTGTTTATTGCAACTAGTGCAAACTGTAGAGATGCAACCTGGTCATTAAAATAATTTCAAATGGGATTTTCTTTTCAGTTTTTTTTTCTTCGTTTTCTCCCCCGCCACTTTGGCGGCCCTCAGTTCAATGTTGGGTTCCTAAATTGGCCCTCACCTATCAAAACTTTGAGAACCCCTGCCCTAAAGTATCATGAAAATTCCCAGCAAGCTTTTTAGCCCAAAGTGAGTGTGTCAGGGTTTGACATTTTGTACTTGCCCTCTCTCGCTGCCTCCTTCATCTTGGCATCCTGCTCGATCAACCATTTCAACACCAGGTGACCAGCGGGGTGTTCTGCCATATGCAGCTTCAGGAAACACACATATCAAACCATTACCTTAAAGCTTTTAATGATGTTTATATGTCTATGTGGTGTTTTTAATATGCTTTAAGACAAACAATGTACAAATTCATAAGTCAACACCATTGCTTAGTATTTTCTCCATAAAACTCCAGTGCACTCCATATGTTCATGGCGAGAGCCAGGTATAGTTATTAAACAAATAAAACTAAAGATGTTTAAGACTAAGTCCGGATTTACTAGGTTACAAACCTTTTCAAAATTATCAATAGGATAAAACAATTTTCTCAAAGGGGTAGAAGTATTACAGTCCAGCAAAATATGTTTTATGGACAGTGGACTCTAAGATGAACACTTTGGTGAATTTTCTCCTGATAGTAAAACTTTATATGCGAGTCTTGAGGATCCTATCCGGCATGGTGTGTAATTGACTTGATCCCAGCAATTATTTAAATCGAATCTATATATTTTTTTTCCAACTAAGATTTATTTCATGTAGTATGTTGTTTATAGCCTGGCTCCGCCCTCCTACGTACTTCCACTCAATTTTCATTTTCCTTAAGTACTACGTCTGTTTTTTGGGGGGTTTTTTACCGGTCCAATCAGCGAACAGTAGGAGTCACGGTGGCTCAGAGTCTCAGAACGGTGACGTTGAGGTGCGCTAGTTTGAGTTCTAGACATACGTCACGACCAAACGTTAGCGATTGGTTATGGCAGATCCAGAGTGATTCTGGGCAGATTTAATAGTTTTAAACTTCAACAGAGTACCCGCCATCCAGGAAGTTAACGCTTGTCAATGGAGAGTGGTAGGGGTGGGCGATATAGCCTTAAAATTATATCACGATATTTCAAGAATATTTGCGATAATGATATTAATGACGATATAGATTGTTTTTTTTTTACGTTTAGCTCACCTAAATGTTTGCTCACTCATTGCGTTTTTACAATGGGGTAATTTTGTTGTTAATAGTTTACACAACACAAGGAAGCTTGATGCTTTGAATTAAATTGAAAAAAGTAGCAAAAATGTATACAAAATAATAAAGATACAAATAAAGAAAAACGTTTTAGGGTAGGTCTAACACTAGTATTCAGAAATACTACAGATCAAATGTAAAATAACACAGTCTTTTAGTTCTGATTCCTGACTAAATTAAATACATAGGCTATTCATTCTCATTCCTTACAATTAAAGCTATCTTTTGTTGTTTTGACGTCATAGCCTGTGGCTGCTGTCACTTTTAGAGCTAGTGCACGGATCCATTGCCGTTTTCATTAGACTGTCTGTCACACTGTCACATGCGTTTTATACATAACCGACTGTGTTTACGAGCATACTTACCAAGACCGGAATTTGTACACAATTTTGCGTTTTCCCCCCATTAAAGTAATATAAACCGTGAAAAATAACTTTTGTTACATGTGAGCTGTAGCCTATGTATGCACCCAGTGCAACTATCTCTCAGAGAGCGCGCGAGTAGCATAGCCTACTGGATAGTTTAAAATCGCGTGAATGTTTAAACTGAGAAGACATGAAAATTATAAACT